TTATCCCATATGGACAATCCAGACAGGTAGGGACTTTCCACACTGGGATAGCAAAACTGGTGGGAAGGAGATAGTCGTGTAGGAGTCAGACGTATAACCTGATACAGCACGGGAACCTGCTTCAGAGATACAGCTTTGCAGAAGGAACTACCCTGCAAAGGGGACATGAACTGCCCCTAGTTCACACTCATGTAATCTGATACCATGATGCTGGGAAATCTAATCACGTAACACCCTTCCAAACTTGTCACACCATTTATTTAAATAGCTGCCAAGACCCAGTCATACTGTGACGCACACTCAAGGCAAGGAATCTGTTTCAGAAAGCAACTAGAAAATAATCTGCTGACAGTGGTAGTCAGAACAAAAGAAAAAATGCCAGTTCTCTAACTACAACCAGTCTAGATACAAATTGAGGAAATCACAACATTAAGGTCTGCATTTGGTTTACTACGTTCCATACCAACATTTTATACTTGGCATGCCTGACCATGCATTGTGGTTTAGTGTCTTGCAATATCCATGTGCCATCCTTTGCTCAAGCAAATGCAGGTCTGTTAACTTTGTGCCCCTTGTGCTGTACACAACAGAGCAGGGATCCCATAACCCCCTTGCTTTTCTAGCCTTCCTTAAACTGCAAAGCCAACATTTTTGAACTGCAAAACCAGAGGAATTCATTAAGCACCTGCCATGTTGCAATACATTATTGCTGTACAAGATATAGCCAAGGTCAGAGAACTGACAGGCTTGCAATAGATTTCATAGTTGGCAAGGACAACATTCACATGAAATCATCGTAAGAATGAACAGCAGGGGGACTGCTGTTACTGGTTTTCAGAACTATTGTGAATTCTGAACAGCATAAAGTTAACTACCTAAGGAACTAGATTAACAGTCAATTTTTTTCTAGGAATGGCAGCCTGATTGCTCAGGGAAAATGTTTTTTGTGACCTCTCTTCTAGAGCTCTATTAGGGATGTCCCAAGAATGATTACATGGATGGCACTCTCACATAGGAAGAGACAGCTAAGTGACATGTACATGTCTACTTTGTTTGCATGCCCTCTGTTGGAAATTACATGCATAACTGGTCAGATCCTGACTTGATCATGATTAAGCAGACCCACTGAAATGTTATGAGCAACTTATCCCACTGATTTCAGTGAGTCTTCTTGAAGCATGACTAAATCAAGATTCAAACTCTTGCCTTTAAACACCAGGACCTATATTACTACATCTGTACAGAATTTCCTGGGTGTGTATGCACATTATACAACCATTGCATATGACAATTTGCATACATTTTACATAGTTTTCCCTACATCAAAGTGCTATGTGTACAGAAAATACACATGGTTCTTAAATATTCTAATGATTAATCCTAGGATATCATATATGCACATAATAAGTTTCCAGCAGGGTAGCTGCTTAGCGTGTTGCAGCACAAGTGATGTAGAGTCCTGTGGCATTTTAAAGACTAACAGATTTATTATGGCATAAGCTTTTATGGACTCCTTGAAACGTCTGCTGTAATAAATCTGTTAGACTTTAAGGTACAACGGTCATTCACCTGGTTTGCACGATCAGGTTGCATGATTAGCCCACTATGATTTATCTCAGCCACAATGGGTTGTGGTGCATGCAGGTGGCTACTTGAATATTCAGATTGTGACTGCAGCTTATTGTGTCGTAGAAACTTGAAGAATGTGGGTTATGTAAGTGCTAAATAAATAATGGTTAAATAAATTACCCTTGCATAAGCCTAAAGCAAACCATGGGTTCTGTGAGGGTTATTTAACCTTTACAAAAACCATAGTTCTCAGGTTTGGATGACACAACAAACTGCTGTTGCAGCTTGAACATTCAAGACAGTACCTGTAAGTGCTGTGGTTTGTCATGGCTTAGATAAGGCATAACAACAGGAAGAACCTACTAGTGTTGTTTGTATGCAAAGCTCCAGCACTGAGGTATGACCCTGCCTAGTTGAGGATGATGCCACTGCTCCTAACAGAGTTGGAGCCAACAGTGACTATCCACTGACAACTAAATTTTCTGACAGCAAAATAGGGAAGGAGTGATTTTTGCTGATTTCATCCTTACCCCTGTGCCCCTTCCCATGATGCACTGGGTCCCCCAGTGCTCTGGAATGGACTCGTAGCAGTGCAAAATGAAAAAAATCTACTAAAATTGCCTCCTTCCTCACACTGAAGCCTGCACTGGATCATAGAGCCTTCTATTAGCAAAGCTGCACCACTGGAAACAACCCATAATAAATACCTCTAAATAAAAGCAAATTTAGAAATCACCACACTAAAGAGACTGTTCTATTGCTAGGATATTATGTTAAAGCCACTTTTTAAATTCTTTTATGACTTTCCTATGTAACTGTCCAAACTCCTTCTTAATGTTTTGCAGTACAAAAGTTGACTCTCCAGTTGATACATGTAGAATAATCCTTAAGAAAGCTTGGTGAAGGTTATAATTTCTCTTAAATCACAAGTGATTTATGTCCAACCAAATCCAAGTTTTATTGTGGTCACAGACCAGCATAACATGATTTATGTGTCTAAGGTAATTTCCAAGCAAGGCAACCAATGTGAAATTAGGCCAAAGGTATTAATGCGATAGATTATTGCATTAAAAGATATATATTTATATAAAGTACTCAGCACACGTCTATGCTGCCTTCTGCAGAATGACTCATCGGCCGTGTCTATGAGATACTTTAAAATAAAGGGCGAACATATACAGAGGGTTAGACAACGTTCAAATCCAGGAGTCTCCAGGATTGTAATCATAACCATACTAATAAATTTTTAAAATTAGGGAAGATTTCATGAAGTCTTCTTGTACAAATGCACATCCCAATCTTCAAGGCACTATGACAGTGCAGGTATTGTAGCCCAATTCTAAATACATTTACTCAGAACTGAGTTGCAGAACTAAGTTTCAATAGTACGTTCGTGGTTACTTTTTCATAACCATGCTTGGAATTGCAGGCTTAGATCTGTACATTCCAAGTCTCTCAATTTTAGCTAAGAAGTTGTTCAGTGAGGACTTTTGAAACCTTACATATTATAAGAAGGCTTGTATAAGGATTCACTGTAAAATCAATAAGAAACGGAACTGGAAGTAATGTACTGTATTTTAACTCTGTTAACAATATTTCTGTTTGCAAAAGTTCCTGAATAGAAATTACATTTTTGTGTGGCATACATTTCATGCAACAGAAGAGAAAAATTCGTTTGAAAAATCTTTAAATCAATCAGGATTGAAATCAATCAATTCAGCATCACATGATAGTTACAAATTTAATAGGTGAAACATGAAAGGCACTGAATAACAATTTCAAGACAACAGCTGGGAATTTTTAAGGAGGCTGTTTAGAATTCTGAAGCTGGGAACTTTACACACCCTTCATATGATGCACTTGTATCTGTTCATGCACTACTGGAAAGTCTTTGATCTCAAACATAGCAGCATTCAATAACACTGTGAAGGAGAATAATAAATATGTGCTTTCTGAGTTAGTTCTGTCTGAATAAAAAAGAATGTATGGACTTTTCTTGTTGTTGTTGTTACTGTTGCAAATTCGCATAATCCATGAATCTTAACTGAAGCTGCTACTTGAATAGAAATGGAAAAGCTTTGACTACGCTTACAACAGATACAGATTTCATCTTCAAGTGGAATAACAAAAGTTCTAAGTGTTCAAGTTGTGGGATTTTTCCCCTTTTTTTGTTATGTCACCAACCTCATCCTCAAGGAAAGAAAAGTACCCTTATTGTGTGTGAGCTCCACTGTCACACAGAATCCTTGAAACCCAACAATAGTTGAAACAAGGTAGTGAAGCCATTTATTGAAAAACCTTGAGTAGGTCGACTGTTATAATATTTTCCTCTGCAGTTCTGATCTCACAGTTCATGATGCTGACACATATGCAAACTATAGCACACCTCTGGGACTGAATAAATGTTACATGATAACAATTTATTTCCCATTGTTCTAAGTCTATCCATGCCCCATTTGCCAGATGTTTTAATTATCTGATGTTACTATTTTTGAATTTTCAGAAATACATAATGCAAGCTTCACATTCCTATAAATACCAATTGATTTAATTAAAAAGAACTTTTTGTAAAGTGATAGGCTGTAGTCCTACCTTCCATTACTTAAACAAAAATGCCATTGGTACAAGGGGAGACAGAGCCAGATATTATGTGCTGGATTGCAGACAGGTACTACAAACCTCTCGTACTGAGGAAAATAGGGATGCTATTGTCTGCAGGTGTTTTTATCTATTCAGTGAAACATATCTCAAACTGCTTTTAAAACTCCTCTTAGGGCGCTTCCAGACAAGGCTTTGATTGATTCAACTGTCCTACTCATTATGGGATTCTAAAGGGGGTATCTTCCATTTGTGACATTCCCATGCTTTCCTACTACTTCTGTCTTTTTTTCTGACCACAGAAAATCTGTTAGGGAGGGAAAGTTTAATAGTTGACTGCGTCTTTCGACTGGCATCATCAGGAACTAACCCAAAGCCTAGAGCGATCTTAAGGAAGCAGAGAAACTAGTTGTGCAGATCTTTGGTTCTGCCTGACTTATAAGAGCTCAGTAAGATCTTATGTGATCACTACTTGCCATAAAGTGGAAATATTCCTATGATAGAATCAAGGAAATGTGACCAATATCAACACTGGGACTTGAATCGGTTGATATCCAAACAGGACATTTATAATTGGATCCTTCATGGCAGACATTTTACATTGGAAGTACCTTCGCAACAGTTTTAAGGGTTCAAAAGTGGCTTGAGAGAGGCTTTTTGTCTCACTATTACTTCTGGTCAAACAAGTTTCATAAACTCTTGAAACAATACAAAAGCCTATTTGTCAAGGGTAGAAGTGTGAAGTGTGTACATGCAATGAGCATTAATTCTTTTTTCAAAACAGCTCCAGTGTTCTAGCAAAAATATCATCTCCAACATAAGTAGGCACCACAGAGGAGCTGTTTTTGTGTCTGATAAGCAGCCAGCATGCAGGGCTGCTCTTGCATAGCAACATTCGTGTTCTTCAAAATTAAACTGTCAGAAATGTTAAGTTGCTAAAGGGGAAAAACAGTAATGCTCTTACTTCTGTAAGCAAATGTATAAATTTTCTCTCCTATTGTTGTGTTTGCCCTACCATTTAACCATCCCTCTTTAAATCTGCTTGTTGACAGGTCATCTACAACACAACATAGCACCACTAAAAACAAGAACAACATCACTGGAGGATTTTGCAATAATAGAAGATTTACACAAAATATCTGTAAGTTAAACAGAAAAACTAACATGGGAAAAAAAATCACCAATCCTCTTAGTGTCACGATAAGGACTTGAGGTTACTGTCTCTTCTGTATCTGGTACATTTTACCTGAAATCAGTGATGTGAAGATGTGAAAGTGAATTCTGCTCCACGGCATTTTGTGCATTGGTTGAAGTGGAATGTTTGAATTTGTAATTTCTGCAATACCTTCTCTGAGATGCACCTAAAGGGCAGCCTCACTACACCCCGATGTTCTGCAGAGTCAAAACTGTCCATTAAGACTCTAACAATGAGTGCCATCTACAGACTTGTTGTCCTTTTGATTCCTTCATCTCAGTCCAGTGGTTTAGTTCCTCTTCACCAGAACTGTTCAAACCTAAAGAAATCCAGCCTATCATTTCCTTTCGCTTCATACTGCGTTTATTATATACAGACAATATCAGTGTCACATCAGAAAGCTGAAATAGTGCCACTTGAAAAATAAAGGTCTCTTTGTAGACAGGATTTGGCTGCCCTCTTCGGATGGATGTCTTGCATTTGGACATCTCTTGACCCATGGAATTCAGCAATGTCAGCTTAACAAATGTATCTACAAAATAGAGAATTTGGGACATGAGATGCTTAGACAAAAGATTTTTCCTAACAAAATGACACAGAATATGTTAAAGGTTATGGTGTATACCAAATTTGATTATGAATAGTTGACTATACTTACTAGCATATTGAAAAGATAGAAAAAGTTTAATTGCAACTTTTATTTAATCAGATTTACCTTTCCATAACTTTGTTTAAAGGTATACCACATAATCCTTCTACTTACTCATTACCCCCTGCTTACTTGCATCAAGCAGACATGTGTAGCATTAACACTTAGCAAGCTACAACTGGCCACAACACTGTAAAGCATATCAGAGTTTTCAGATCATGTAAACAAGTGAATAAAAAGTGAAATGAAAAAGTAAAACTGCAAGTAAAAAAAAAATGGAAGTGGAGTGCAGTGATAGCATCATGGAAGCTCATGATGAAATGTTTGCTTTAAAGAAATCTCTGAATGGATGTGGCTTGTAGTCAAGAGTTTTTGTTGGATCTGTGAACATTTAAAATGTCAAAATATAATAAAATGCATTGAAAAAAATGTTGTTTACTCATCTGAGTAAAGCTCTTTATGCCTATTTTTTTGCAAACAGATATATAGTGTATGATATGAGATATAATTAGGGCACAGTTGTTTTATAATCCCTTTAAAAAGTATTACGTTACAACAATGGTTACACTGCTCGGCACACTCCAAAATCCTATGTGTAGAGAGGTTATATTCCACTGCTCATAGAACAGGGAATTCCCTATCTGTGTTAAGCTCCACATGTGCACTGGAGCGAATGGATCATGAATATGGATTCATTAATACAGCAGTTGACATTGACATTAAAAACGTTCATTTGTATTATAGTGTTTTCCACTATGTCTGGGAAAATACACTCACAGCCACCAAATGCAGCATGTTAATTCAATATTTGCATGTCAATTTATTTAAAAATAAACCGTTTTCCTTTCTTTTTTCCCCTTAGTCGATGCAAGAAAATCCTTTTTTAAGATAAAAAATTGCAATCAAATTGTATGTCCTAGAATTCTTTCACATTTCAGTTTTATAGATATGTGAAATACCATCATCCATAGTCAGAGATTACATCTATCTCCATTGTAAGAGTGAAATAATTAATGTACACTGTCAGAAACCAACATGGTGGAGAGTGGTGAAGTGCTTTGCTGCTGGCGACTTTCTTTTGCATGAAAAAGACAACATCCAATTAGTCTCTACAGGAACTCACCTCGTATTATATAAACCTGTCCACCTATCAAGTGTTTTAGACAACAGAACAGTCCGTCTGACAACAGGGGGTGGAAAGCAGTAAAAGAAATAATGACCAGATGTCAATAGTTGGGTGAAAGAGGATCAAAGGTTATAGTTTAAGAGGAAATATTGTTCAGCAGAGTGGAAAGGAGAGAAAAAAAGCCTTAGCAAATCACTTTAAAGAGAGGGACTGAACAAAAGGATTGGCAGGTACAATTTAATGAAATGAATTTTGTAAGGTCACTGTGTAATCTTTAACAAAAAATTACACTGTTTCAAGTAATGGGATATCTTCATATTAGTTTCAATTGGGCTTAAACACAGAACATGTAGACTCATGCAAAAGATCAGGCTAGAAAAATAGAACTCATAGAGGCATCTTTACAGGACCTTCCTCTTTTTCATGCAAACTCCAGCTTCTTGAGTAAGGGTCAATTCAATGACCTCAGACCAGGGGAGGTCAGGGGATTACTATACAGTAAGTGGTCACTGAATTGCACCCCGTGTGTATTACAAACAATACAATGAAAACTAATTGGATTAAAAAATAATTTGGTTGATACACCATTTTTGGTGAATTTATATGTTTAATGCCACTTTGCAAAATGCATTATTATGCAAAAATGCTTGCAACAACAGGATTACTCTGGTATTAAAAAATAACATTTCAGTTCCAAAATCTTGCCCAATCCACGGACTACCATGTGCTGCAACTCCACAAAGCGCTTCTGCATGTGTGGGCTGCCCTATTCGCTTCAATTCTATGTGACCAAAGAGACGTGCAATGGAATTCTTTTCTTTTCCTTTTATATTAATGGGAAATTGTATGCTAGGAGACTGATTTGCATATTCTGGAGCCCTGTACCAAGCAATTTGCTAGATCCAAACATGGCCCTTACCTAGTAGGTAAGTGCAGGAAAGCATCTTCCCAAAAGGGCCAGACAGAGAGCCAAACTAGACATTACTGTAAGTGCACGTTAAGCAACTTTGTTTGAAAGTATGCAAGAGTCATATCCTATTTCTCACTACTGCTAACTTACACTGCAGCAGTGTAAACAACCAATAGCACAATGTCACTAGTATTAGTTGCTTGACAGTTGTTCCAATACACTCGTAAAAACCACTAGTGTTGTCCTAGAGATGGATTGTGCTAGGGCAGAGCAGTTTACATTAGTTGGACTGTCAAGTACAAAACTGTCCCTGGTGTGTGAGATGTTCACTGGAACCGCAATGCATGGTGAGGTGAGGTTTAAACCTTCCTTTCCCAGCCATGATCCTGTTTCCACCCACCAACACGCACTCCGCAATTGGCCTTAGGGACAAAAGACCCATTGGCCTCACTAGGAGCTCTCCCCACCAAGACAAAAAGGAGCGTTGGAGGTGGTGATGAGGAATAAAGAATTAGACTTCCCCTCCCATACACTGCAGTCAGAATGAGGACTGGGGCCCTTTATGGCCCTCTATGGCTAGTAGTAATTAAAAGAAAAGAAAAGAAAAGAAATGCTAGCTACATGATTAAAACTAACATTTCATTTCAGCCTCAACCCCAAATGATCCATAAATGACCAATAGTTACTGAAGAACATGAAACCTGCTCGCTTCAGATTTGTAATGTTTTTAGGGTAGAACTAGGTATTAGGTTCATTCTGGATTGCTGCCAAAAATGGTAACCTCATGTTGCGTTCTAAGCCCACTTGTCATAATATTTAGGCACATTTACTTGAAACATTTTCTTGGCCCTCATCATTCACTACCCCTGGTAGGAGCAAGGAAGCAATACAGATAATGTGCCTAAAAATTACACAGAGAGGAAGAGAATGTAACATTTTGGCACAGGCCCTGTTGAGTATCATGCCTGTTTCTTCATTTTGCCTCTTTAGGTTCCAAATATTGCTACAGTTTTCTGCTATGGATAACTTTGCTTAACGTCTGATACATGGGTCTGTTAGCACAAACATGTTCTTACAAATGCACAAAAACAAAAAGTACCTGATAATATCCTATAAAAGCATACACTTATCCCCACCAATCTTACTATATTTTTTGAATCACACACACACTCACACACGCACCATAGTTCACACATAACGAGAAGTCAATATGGGCTACAGGCTTTTTCACTGTGGCCCGCAAGGCTTTTTCACTATGGCAGTGTCCACCATTTTGAATAGTTGTGGGGGTGTGCTCTAGATTCTCCTCATCCGTGTAACGAATGAGGGTGGGTTCTTTAGGTGGTCAACAAGCCACCTATAACCCATGGTTTTAGGGTTTTAAGTGGCCTGTCAGTCACCCAAGCAGTCCACCTTTTCAGGTTGAGAAGGTATGGCATGCTGCAACATACCCCAAATATTTTAAATGGCGATGCCTGCAGTCCCAAAAGAAACCCTGCAAGGAAATTCACCTATGGCAGCTTTTCATTATGTGAGTACCAGGCCAGTACCACAATCATTCATACTTGGAATTAAGAATATTTTTTTTAATCAGCACTGAAAATGTCAGCTTTAAACTTTGATATATGTCAGTATCACTGAAACTCACACACTTATGAAATCGTGTATGAATATCCTTAACTGCTGTAGCATCAACATATTTACATAAACATTCATTGGCACATACCTTTAAAATACATTATAACTTTTTACACTGGCTCTGTAATGTGAGGCATTAATAGTTTAGTAATTAATCATTAAGATAAAGGCAATTTATTAGTCAGTCAGTCATGAAAAATTAAAAAGAATCTTGTCAAATCACAACCTAATATTTTGAATTTTAGATTTCTGCCATTTCCCCAAAGACTGGAAATATAAAACATGAAACAGATTAGCTGATGATTGCACTATTTCAGCTTGACTGGGGTAAGACTAAATGATAGGATTGAAGTCCCCACCAGTGAAATCCCCCCAAGTGCAGAAGTATTAGGATAAAAAAAAATTCCACTCACTGGGTGGTCTGTTTGCTGCCAAGTTTTTGAAGTGGCTGCCTTTTATCACTTCTGCTGCTAGTCTTCCAGTTGTGGCATTATAAAGCAGTCCGATGAGGATTTCTGGAGCTGAGCCATGTGCCAGAGACTGACAAGAGGAGGTACTTTCACTGCAGGACATTTCTGACATGCTCATTTGGGAGTCACAGCCCTGGAAGCAAAAGCAAAGCGTTTGCAAGCATTTGAAACAGCCAAGACGCTGAAGTTTCCTCCCTCCTTACGTTTTTATTCTAAGTTTTGATTCTAACTCAGTCTTAACAGCACATGTCAGCTTAAAGAAAATAGAAATGGTGGCAGCGACTTTGTGAATTTGAAAAGAACAATATATAAAACACTGGATTCAAATTCAAACAGGGTTAAGCTCAATCCCATTTCTAAGACAGCATAACCTGTATCACAAATGTAAAGAGTCACTGGAAATGCTCAGCCTTGCTCTTCATCCAGAATTGCACACTGGAAGGGTTATGGGTCAGAGAGGGGAAACCTCTAACATGATGTTATCAGGATGCAAAGACATCAGGGCGAAATTAGACCCAGCGTTAAATACACTCAACACATTTTTGTATATAATGCACACAGCTGCTGTAGAGGGCAATTATTGGAAAGCTGCAGATGGAGAGGGGGATTTAACCCTTTCCTCCTATGTTACAGTCATCCTGGAAATTGTTCCTTCAGTGTTTGCTTTCGAAGGTGAGTTCTCCTTGGTGCCCATTCAGGATGACTCTTCCTGAGCCTTAGCACGCCTTTGTTATTTAACCTTTTGGTATTCATGTTTCAGTGGGACTAGAACCTTGGACTCCCATGTCCTAGTTCTAACCACTACTTTTCATTGGCTCTAATAGCACATGTCTGTGATACTGTTATTGAACATACAATGCTGCTCAATGAGTTAACTTATTACCTAGTAAGCCTATTAGTTTCTACACTGGATGGCAGCTGCTCTCCAAAATCATTCTCAGCATGATTACCTTTAACTGGAAATGCTGGTATTAAATCTTGGCACTTCCACATATGTACAAAATGTGTACTCTATCAATGGAACACAGAAACAGAGGAAATTGCCTGAAATTGAGTCAGACCACTGGTCCATCTGAGCCACAACTGTCAACACTGACCAGCAGCAGTTCTCTGGACTTTCAAGCAGTATTCAACTTTTCCAGCCCTACCTGAAGGTGGCACAGATTGAATCCAGAACCTGCTCCAAGCAAACCATATGCTCTTCAACTGAGCTACAGACTCTCCAACCCACCGACCATGGTTATTCTCCTATATATACTTGGAATACAGGGGACATGAATTGGGCTGTTTAGGAAGAGATAGCATTGAAAGGATTTTTTAAAAATAAGATTTGTTGTGCAAGCCTGCTTGCCCCCACCCCCAAGCCTGAAGATACCTCTCCTGTGTGCAGGCAGTGCCATTTGGAGTATATAGGAATTGACATTGATCTCCAAAGTTCAGAACTAGAAGGAACGATTATGAAAATGCAGTAACAAGTCAGATATTTAGCAAAATGATCTACTGTAGGATAGCCAAATACTGTAGGCCAGTGCTGAATACTGTCACCATGTGAAAGTTCACACCATCCATTCCCTTGGGGGTGACTGAAAGATGTACAGGATTGATTCTAGGTGTCTAGATCCTCCTACAACAGTCGCCACGTCTGATGGTACTGACCAACTATATAGCAAGGAGCAAACAATGGATCCCAATGTTTAAAGTCTCACAACAATGAGCAAAGCTGAGGTAGAATGCTGAAATTCAAGCCAACCAACCTAGAAGTTGCATTTTACTTCCACATCCTAATGGTAGATTAGTTTGACTACTGTGCAGTCACCCCATATACAAAACTCTGTCCTCCGACATTTTGGTCCTGTCCTCTAAGTACCTGCTGTCTGGGGCAGATGCTGAGTGGATGACAGGGGTGGACCCATTTTTCAAAAACCAATGAGGCTTTGTTGGAGTGAAAAGTGCCACAATGGAAAAAGAAATGGTCTTCCTACATTCCCTTTCCAGTAAGCAGGTATGTCAGGGAATATGGCCAAGTTAGCCTTTCTTAATAGCTAGAATTTCTAGTACCATCATTGCCAAAAAATAAGATTGTAAATGGATCCTTACCTGTGTTCAATTGTATTCACTACAACTCTTCTGCCATTTGCACTCTAATTGCTGGCACAATTAGAGTTGCTTCGAATATTAAGGAGCTAACATGGTTCTGTGACTACTTCAAGGACAATGGGAAGTGATCATATCAATAGCTTGGGTCATCTCCTCATCTCAAGTGGTGGCTGGAACCTGGACAGGACTGCCAGCTAGGTCTGCAGGAAAATCCCCAAGAGCCCTCAGAAATTTGTCTGGATTCATTAGCATCCAGATGTGGATCATCAGACTCGGTCCACACTCTTGCAGGTAGCCTGAAGATCAACACTGATCAGTTAACGATCTCTCCATCCCAGTGGAGTGACTACTGGATCCCCCACCCACAGATCATTTTCTCCTAGATAAACTCAGAAAAACAAGTCCAAACTGTGACATTCTTACTTGTGACAGGTTCATGGCTAATACAGTAGCCATGAAATCCTGAGCAGCTTCCAACAAGGCATGCGTAGCATGAATATTGAAGCTTTTCAAGCCCTGGCTCCTCAATACTAGATTCAGATCAAGAGCATCTCAGTAACTCTGGCAAGGAGACTATTGGCTAGATGAGTGGGTCATACAGCCAAAGAATTTCAGCCCTCTATCAGGTGCCCAGCACCAGGTACAAGAACAGTGAAGTGGCTGACTGTGGCTTCAGCTTAAGAAAAAGATCTAGTCTGAGTCTGGAAAATATTTAAATCCAATGTACAACTATGGTCTTTTATCATTTTATGAAAAATCTCAAGCAAGTGCCTGCTAAATGTGTCATTCTAATAGTGCAGGAAGAACACTAAAAGGTTACTGTCTTGATGGGTTCAAAATATTTATTATGACTGCAACTGTATAGCCACTTATCTGGGAGTAAGACCAATTGAACTTACATCTGAGTAGATGCATACACTATTGATTGATGGAATTTTTCTACCACGCAACAGTGGAAACTCTCAGAGCTTACAATTGTTCCTAAAAGGTACCATGCTACAATAAAAAGCAGATTTTTTCCAATGATTTAGTAATTTTGATACCTTTAAAGCAGTTAAAAGATTTTAAATATAACAGCTAAATAGTATTTAATATAAAACAGGCCTACTAGGATTCTGCTGCAATGTATTAAACACATTGTTTGAAAATTACTTGAGACAACTTCTCAAAGGCCTTTCCTGAAATTTCATTTTGCAATTCCAAGACAGCAAACTGGTAGATACACTATTAAAACCATTTCCTTCTGTCATGGGCAAAAAATCATAGATTAAAGTTAAATCAAATGAAAAACATAATTTCTTCATTGATTATAATCAAGAGACTCAAATATTCTAAAAAGCATGATGTGCAACCTTAATATATTACCACAGAGTCTATAAAGTTACATCAAATTTCCATCCTGAAATCATAAATGTTATTGGAAATATATACATAGGCAAATTATTCTAACAAAAGTATCTCACTATTCACAGATCAGCTTTGTTCCTAAACTTAAGCTATTGTGAATAATGTTTTCTCAAAATGAAATGACAAAACCAAATTTATATGTTCTGGCAAATCAATGTTCTTCAACAGACATTCAGCAAGGCAAGAATGGGACCCTTGTGCCGCTTTTCCCATTTGATACTTGATGTGCAGTATCTTGATAAGTCTTCTAATAAAATCCATGTAGTACAATTTAGTGGTGGGAGGGAATGAAAAGTTAAATTATTTAATTTGTCTAGAATGTAATGTGACAAAGCATTAAAATTATTGTCGAGGTACCCATTGCCTAATTGTCTAACAGGGTCACACATAAGACAACTTTCACGTACAAAGATTGCAGAAAGTAGTAATGGAAAACTTCAGATCACTGCTTAAAAGGATCCATAGTCATAGACCACAATCAACTGGAGAATTAAGCATATCCAGACCTACTAAAATCCTTGCCCTTAAGCTGTCTTAGCCCTTAGCTAGCTGGATTAAGACATACAAAAATGATGTCTATCTCATGTGCAAAAATAGGGTCCATCTCATTTGGCAAGTTTCAAAGCCAAATCAGGACAAGACATAAATGAAATGTATATAAGCACTGTTTTTGAGGAAGCATAGTCTATAGTGGGATAAAGAAAGAATATGACCTATCCATAGGGCTTTGGGTGGTATCCAATATAAATCCTTTTGTAAAGCATATCAATGAAAGTTTGCAGTATTTAGGTGAGCTGTGACTTACTTGTGTCTTGTTCACTCTGTCTAGGACCAACACTGAATATGATGCTATGCCCTCGAATCACATTGTCTTTAAACAGCAGATGTGCTCAATCAACATCTTTCGAGCATAGCACATGATGCAAAGCCAACTGGGACGTATTTAGTTAATTACTGCCTGCACCATAAGAAGGTTTGACTGTCAGCATGAAAGACTGTGGTATGTGCCTGCTATGCAAACTTGTATTTAAAAACCAAAAACAAACTAGGGATATGAAGATATCCCCCATTCCACAGTGTTGTTTTTTTCTCTGGTACACTCTGCTCGTCCAACATTTTGATATAAGTAGGAGAATATTTAATGTTAATTCCAAATTGGAGCATGTAGGGTTTGCGGTGGTTTCTTCAGTTCCCTCATCCGCATGGCCAAAATTGATAAAGCATCATTATAATTCATTTTGCTATGCTTTTGCATATTGTTACACCAAAATTCTTTTGCATGTGTTTTTCTGAAACCCACTTGTGCTCCTTCTCACGGGCAAAACACTGCACAGAAAAATGAGTATTGTACTATACAGTGTGTACAATTAGGTCAAGTTATTGTAGTGTTTTATTAATCTTTTCATTTGCATTGCCAATTCAGATACAGATAAAGACACAAAAGGCAGAAATATGGAGCAAATGGCATGGGACCAGTGGTTTATATCCAACAGGTGCCCTCTGTTGGGATGCCCTTTAATCCACTAGAGACTTTCAGCAGAACAGGGTTAGTTGGTACTAGACTAATCTCTTTCCCTCCTGTATTGCCCCAGAACTGTTTCAGAGGGTTGGGAGAACCCAACAGAACTT